ACTCTTGGACCTATAACCAAAGGATGCTTCAGCTTACCATAAGGACACTTGCTCAACCATGTTCATAGAAACTGTATTAGTAATAGACAGAAACTGGAAGCAATCTAGATGTCCCTCAACCAAAGAATAGATAAAGGAAATGTGGTACATTCACACAATGGAGTATTATTCAATTGTTAAAAATGATGTCATAAGACTTGCAGGCAAATGGATGAAACTAAAAACAATCATCCTGAGCGAAGCAACCCAAACCCAGAAAGATAAACACTGTATGTATTTGCTTATGTATGGATATCAGCCATTAAATAAATGATAAAAAGCACAATCTATAGATCCAGAGAGGAGGAGTCTAAGGAGAAGTATGGATCTCCCCGGGATAGAGAAATAGAATAGATTTTTCTGGCAGACTGGGGGCAGGTGAGGATAGGACCAGGTGGAATCATGTGGAGTGGGGGCTTGGCATGGAGGGAGCATGCGCAGGCAGAGACAGCTAGAAATGGGGAGTACTTGGGGTTAGTATGGAAACCCAGCCCAGTTTAAATTCCCAGAATATAAGAAGTTCATCCTGACAAGGACTCCTAGTAATGACAGGTACTGAGTCTCAGTTGGTCACTTCTTGTCATCAGGTAAGGCTTCCTGGTTTACTTTCAATTGTGTTGTTGGTCAAGAGGGCTTCATGGAAATGCCCAAATAACTGGGGCTAACACAAGGGGTTGCTTTTTAACAAACTTACAGCACTGGCAATGGGGCCCCATTGCTGAGGACAGCACCCACACAACTCACTGAACATGGAGAAGTTGAGGTGGGTCTTACATAGAGCCTTCTTCACCCCTATGTTCTAGTCTCTTTGGTGCAGGAAAGAACTCTGCAGGTTACTGAAAGAGAAATGTGAACACAAACCCAGTCACAAAACCTTTGATATACAATCTGGCCTGCCTGCAAACTATGCTGGGGCAATAGTGGCATAGGTCTTGTGGGAGTAGCCAATCAACGTTAGATTCACTTCAGTTCTACTCTGTGAGTAGAAATCCATACCCAGCACTACTTGGGTAACCATGAACCAGAGGCTAGATAGGCCAGAGACAAACATTGCTGGTATATTTAAAAAGGTATCAGTAGAACAACTCCTAATAATATTCTGCCATACTCATAGATCAGTGAGTGCTGTATCCAGTCCTCATCAGAGAGGCTTCCTATAGGGGCAGATGGGAACAGATGCAGAGATCCACTATTGTCTGAGTCTTCAGTCCTGCCTGGTTCCCACAGTCATTAAGTCTCAAAGAAATCACACAGAGGCCTACATTAGTTATAAACTGATTGGCCCATTAGCTCACCTTCTTATTAACTCTTATAACTTATATTAGCCCATTATTCTAGTCTATGTTAGCCACATGGCTCGGTACCTTTTTCAGCGAGGCAGTTACATCTTGCTTCCTCTGTGGCTGGGTAAAGACTGTAGACTAAGCTTTTCCTCATCCCAGAATTCTCCTGTTCTCATTGCCCCACATCTACTTCCTGTCTGGTTGTCCCACCTATAGTTCTTGCCTGGCTACTGGCCAATCAGCATTTATTTAAAATATAATTAACAGGATACAGACATTGTCCCACAGCAACCCACAGTCAGACATTAAATGGAGTAAAAATTTAAATGGGAGATCTCCATCAAATCCCTCCCCTCAGAGCTCAGGGAAGTCCATGGAAGAGGAGGAAAAAAGACTGTAAGAGCCAGCAGGGATGGAGGACACTAGGAGAGCAAGGTGCATATGATTTCACACAGAGCGAAGCGGCAAGCACAAGGTTTACATGGATCTGCACCAGGTCCACTATGTGTCTATCTTTATTATGCTATTATTATCATCATTATTAAGTTGTTATCATTATTAAGCTATTAGCTTAATATTTTAAGGGACTCTTGACTATAAGAACCTGACCCTTGTGCCTGCTCTTAGAACTCTTTTCCTCCTGTTGAGTTGCTGTGTCCAACTTTGATATGATAGTTTTTCTTTATCTTATTATGTGTTATTGTGTCATGTTCAAGAAAGAAGAATAAAATGACAGCTGGTGGTGGGCACCAGAATCTGTGATGCAGACAAACAAGAGGGAATCCTTACAGGAACACGAGCCCCTCTCACCTGGAAGGCACAGGGAGAGTGGTGCCCAGAGCGGGCGTCCTGCGTCTCCCCGCTCGTACCTCCCTTCTTCGGCTACTTCTCTGCCGTTTATCAGTTCTGCTTAATCAGCATGGCTCAAAGTATTTAATGGATCTTGGGCCACTCCCTACCCCACTCAAGGACGGAACAGTAAAGAAGACATGTATTTATGGAAGTTATTTAAGGATGCCCGATATAATCGAGAATTCTCACTTAAATTGAAACTGTTACTAAACAATAGATATTTTAGTGTGCGTATACTCAAAAGTTTTAAAGGGCACACAAGAAAAAACATTTGTGGTTTATCTGAAATTCAAATTTATCTAAGTGTTACACTCCCGTATAAAGCATAATACATATTATGGTATGCATGGATTCATATTTTATATATATTATACATATATATTATATTTTTAGATATGGTATCTCTGAATATCTTTGTTCTGGGAAAGCTTGTGTGGCTGTTTTATTCTATGCATACATACATACATACATACTTTTATATACTGATCTCAGGACCCTCAGTGCTATACATGTTCTTAGTCTGAGAGCTCTATGAATACCTTTGGAGGAAGGTATGGAGGAAGACAACACAGAAGGAAAAGGCGTCAAGGCAACACACAGAAACAGAGACTAGAAATACCTTCTGGGTCCTGGCTCATTCCCTTTTGCATTCTCAAACTTGAATTCTGCACGAATACCTGCCACCTACAACTCAAAACCAACTTGAGAAAACTTTCACTTAAGTGTTGAGTAGTGAAGTACAAAAGTGAAGACAATATTTAATCCTGTGGAGAATTAAAAAAAAAGATTTTAATCTGCCAGTCCCTGTTAGACCTCTTTAAGGTAGGCTTCTTCCTATGACATGGAAATCTACAAAACAACTTTTCCATCACATAGCATTATTGAGTTAGATTGCCACCGCTGAAGAGACACAAATCTAAGGCACGTACAAACCAGGAGAGTCACCCTCGAGAGCTGGGCCGAAGGGATGGGATGCACAGAAGGCAGCATTTATAATGGTTTAGTTCTCAGGCTACGAAATGAATGCCTACACGCTCATTCAATATCTCTCAAGATAGTTCATATTCCCTAAACGCTTTATAAAATTAACCCACTGCTCTCAAAACTCAGTTCCAGTTCTTAAACTTAATTGTAACTACAGCACACAGGAGGAGAAGTATGAATTTTTATTTCAGCCCTACTTGGTATTTTGAATACAGAAGCTGCATTTTGTCTTTGTGTTTGCTTTTTGTCCTCTGTTTTCATTTTGTTTTGTCATTGAAGATTTGGCCTGGGTTTTTCTTGGAATGGGGTCATGCCCCAATTTTGACTTTTTACTTTCTCAATGAAAGACTTTAGTACCTGAAACCAGTGTTCAATATCTATTGAATCAACAGATGACAGCAACATAAATTCTCAGCTGCAAATGAGTATTTCTTCTGTAACATACCTCATCTCCCATGATAGATGTGCTTATGCCTGAGCTATATTGGAACTGAAACATGGTGGACAAGGTATAATTTGGTAGGGTTTTTCTTTTATCCTCTGAGACCAATGCTTACTGGACATTATGTAACCAACTTGGTCTTCACCAATTTTCACTGAATAAAATGAAATGAAGTTCATGACCTCAGGATCCTCAATGCTACGGTTACAAAATATGGGAGAGAACCAGGCCCATTATTGTGTTGCTAATCTCTTGCCCTGCAACTCCCCCTCAACTAATATGCCCTCTGAAATTTATAAGGTGTTTCAAACAAATGGTCCCTCACAAGAAGCCAGAAAAATAAAACCCCAAATTCCTCTTTCCCAAGAGGACAGCTTAGAACAAAGGCTACTCGGATAACTACAAAAGAAAAGATCATCCAGTCTCATGTTTGGAGGTTAAAGTAGCTCTAGGATATTGTGTTTCATTTTCTCCTTGTCCTGCTCTAGTCTGTAGAACTTCCAAACACTGATTTTCTGAGAAGATCTTGATGTAGCAGATACACACTGAATGCCATGAGTATTACAGATGGGTGAACAGCAAGATCAGAAACAAGCCTTCCCAATCTAGTCTATGGAGCCAGCACCCAAGCTGTGCTTCGTGAATGTAAACTCACTTTAACTCCAGTGGACTCCAGCTCTGATTGCTGGCAGGATCACCAGATATCCTCACCTCAGCACAGATGCAAATCCAAAAGTTTATGCTTGGATCTGGGTTGCTAGCTCAGTTTGGGTTGTGTAAAATATTAGCCCTGAACATAGAATGAGCCAAAGTTCAGTTCCCAGAACTCCAGTGAAAAAAAGGTTGGGCAAGATAAAAAGGCATGCTCAATCCCAGTGCCAAAGACTTGGGGATCTCTGGGTGGCTGGCCAGCCTTGTCTACTTGGTGAGTGCCAGCCAGCCTCATCTGCTTGGTGAGTGCCAGCCAGTCTAGTCTACAAGGTGAGTCCCAGCCAGCCTAGTCTACTTGGTGAGTGCCAACCAGCCTAGTCTACTTGGTGAGTGCCAACCAGTCTAGTCTACTTGGTGAGTGCCAGGCTAACAAGAAATATATCACAAAACAAAAGACGGGCAGTGTCTTAGGAATAAAGGTTGAGTTTGACACACATATTGCACACGTATGTGCTTCTGCAAACACATGAACATGTGAACACATGCATATGCTCAAACAAAAAAGAAACTCAACTCACTGGGTAGATAAGAGAGATAGTCATTTTTAAATGTAAAAGAATAAACCACTCTTTGAAAATGTAAAAAAGTGTTTGTTCATTTCCTCCCCACTGAAGGCACGTGAACAGTCGATTGACTTCTATATTGATTTCTCTAAAGGGAATGAGCTAGAAAAAAACCAAGTGACGTTCAATAAAGGCTTAGAGCTTTATTGCATAAGAACTGTGATTCCAAAGGCTTTGAGAAGAAATTTTGTCTAATTAGTCATTGTAATCAGGTGTCTGCAGGGATAAGTGTTAATTGTTACAATAGACAGGCAATTAATCACGACTTCTTGTCGTCTTGAGGGTGAGAGGCAGCCTCTGTGCTTCTGGATTTCTGTACAGAAAACATGAGCAGACTGCTTTCCCAACAATGGAAAGTGCACCCCTTACAGATGATGAGGGCCCATCGTAGCTCATCCCCGAGATTCGGAAAGACAGTAGCAGAAAATACGGAGGAAACACATTCGGAACTGAGTGTCTCCTCTTCATTCAGAAAGGAATGGTTCCCAAAGTCCAACAGTGGTTCGTTCTGCATCAAGGTGTGCGATCCTCTTCAAGTTCTGGAGTCTGCTGTGATTCTCATGAAAGAGACGGTGAAGCAGGCACTTGGAGTTGATAAATGATCACTTTGAGTTTGCACGGATGCGTCTGAGACTCGAACCCAAGCTGGCCTGCCGTCAGTCTCCATTCATGACTTAATACCACAGACCTATTTACAATATATTAAATGATAAAACTTGTGCATACGGTGTCACTATTTCATTCATAAACACCCAGAAACTGCTACACTGGCACCAGTGCTATCGACTTCCGCGTGTACGTAGGCAGCTATCCCTGTGTGTACATTAATCCTAAGATGCTTGGTGCGTTCATTGATGCCCTTCACTTCTAACAAGAAGTGGCAGCTTAGAATTTGGGAGTCTAGCTAAAGCTCTAGTAGCTCACAGCCACTCTCGTTCTCAGACTGCTTTGCTTGGGAAGGGGTTGGGTACTATGCGAGCAGCTGTTGTAAGAATCCTCTGTAGGAAGGATCTGGAAAGCACCACAGTGTAGGTGGTCATCTTGACAATGGAGACTTCGGCTCCTCTCAAGCTCACAGATGATCGAAATCTCAGCCACCTTCTTGACTGCAGATTTCCTGAGCAGCTGAGCCACTCTGAGAATCTGAGAGTCTTCAGGCAATTATGTTTTACATTTTCATTATTCAGTTTATTTTCACTGATTATTGAAAGCATTTTGTTGTATTAAGCCAGGCATGTTGTAGTTTAACAATAAAATGAGAATCTGTGAGATCTTTAAGCTTTTGTTTGTTTGAAATCACCAGATTTTTAGGGTGATTCATTACATAGCAAGACCTAGTACTGACCATGCTTATATGTGTATGCTAATGATTATGTAATCTAATAGTGTCTCCAGTGGTGTGACCCATACACTATCAATCCCGACACCCCCTGCCCTTATCAACCCTCCTCTTGTGTCCAGCTTAGTTTATCAAATAATCATCTGCTCAATCAACCAAATGAAAACAAACAAATTCAGGCTGCCCTTCACTCCTTCCTCCTGCAGGTTAATTCTTAGTGATAACCCAACTCCTGTTTCCCGTCGGTTACCACTCTTACCAGGCTGTTTACCAGTGCAAAACTATATTGTTTTCAGCAGTTTCATAGTTAACTCTTGCCTATCCCTCAAAGCCTTGGTCCTCATTATTTACGAATCCCTTTGCCCATCTCTGTACTTTGCACATACTCATAGCTTTGCTTAACTGACTATCCTCCTGTTTTTACTAGGTCTTGCACTTCTGGGGGCAGGTACTATGTTTCATTCCTTTTAATTTCTCCTTTTTTATGCAAGGGTCTGGCAAAGACAGTAATATGTAAATATCACTGTACTGATTGTCTATTCTTCTGGGATAAAAAAGCTCAAAGTAATGGCTTAAAGCAGCAAACATTGAACTCACATTTTCAGTGAGTCAATAATTAGAGTGATTCAAATCTGTTGTTTAATTCCAAGTCCCTTCCAAGTATTCAGTCTTCACTGAAAGTTTATCTCGAAGTTAAAAATCCACTTGTAGGCTGTTTGCAGGGCATGGGTCCTTCCCAGTTGGAGCCATCAGTTCTTCTTCACCTTATGGACTTCGTCATGGAGTAGCCAGCAACACAGAAGCGTCCCACCACAGAGAGGGAGGAAAGACAGAGGGAGAAACAGGGATAGAGGATGAAAAGGAGAAGGAGGAAACAGAGGAGAAAGAGGGAAGGGAAGAGGGAGAAGAAGAGAAGAGGAAAGAGAGGAGGGGTAAGTTAAGTGGATATCAAGTGTTGGGGCCCTAATCTCAGAAGGCATAGCCCAGCACCTCTACTGTATTGTGTGCATAGGAGGATGGCCCGGCAAGGTGATTATACGAAAGCCTGAATACCTGGAGGATGGACTCATCACTTTGGGCTTGTCTTTGAGAATAAGGCCAGTCTGGAGTGCTCGTCGCCTCTCTGATCTTCTCCTATCCACCTTTCCAGCAAAGTGCAAGCTGAGACAGCTGACTCTCAGACAGGGGTGGGAGGCCGCGTCTGCGTGGTACAGTTGTCTGCATTTCATCTCTGGGGATGTCATCCATGCCTGGGGCATGCAGAGGCCAGAAGAGGGCACTGGAATCCCTGGAGCTGGAGTTCATGGCCCTGCTGAAGCCATAGTCTGTGTTGATGCTCATGGCTGCTGTTACTATTGAAAGGCTTAGAGGATAGGCTGGATAGAGTTGGCCCTGCCCCTCACAAGGTGCAACACTAGGGAGAACTGGCCCCACCCCTCATCTGCCATATAGTGAAATGGGCATAGTGGAGACGCTGGTCCTGCCCCTCACCAGCTGCAGCACTTGGGAGAGTGACCCCTGCACCTCACCTGGGCAGCACAGTAGAACTGGCCCTGGTGGCGGAGGTGTGGTGAGCCCGGTCTGAGGACATGAAAGCAGAACTGGCCCTACCCCTTGAATTAACCAGGGCAGTGCTGGAGAGCTCACCCTGGCGGTGAGGACAAGAGAAAGCTGGCAGGCTGGCCAATCCTGTAACCGCCCAGCCAAGAACCAGAACTATGGCCCACCCCAACATCTACCCCCATCTACAATCTTCTGAAACACATGAAAGGGCTGGTCCTGCAGCTCCAAAGCTGCAGGATCTCCACAAACAGGGCAACACCAGGAGCAGTCTCGATGAGAGCCCAGTATCAATAGTGTGGCAGAAATCAGAGGCCTCACACTAGACCAATGACTCTGCAATGAACACTTGCAAGTAAAGATACATAGACTAAAGGGTATTGTGCAATATTAAGATGTGCTGCATTTGTTCATGCTGTGGAACACAATGATGCAAGGATGTGCTGGGTTCTTCTACGTTGTCGTTCAATTCTGTGAAGCTGTGATTCTTTGCCTGTCTGAAACACGATGGTCTTGATAAGAGCTGAGTGGCCAACAGTGAGGCAGGAGACAGGATAGGCAGGGCTGGCAGGCAGAGGAAAAATAGAAGTAGAAATCTGGGAGGAGGAGAAGAAGGAGCAAGACAGATCAAGAAGAGGACATCAGGAACCAGCCTTCCAGCTACACAGCAAGCCTCAGAGAAAGAAACAGAAAGGTATACAGAAATGGAGAAAGATAAAAGCCCAGAGGCAAAAAATATATTGGATAATTTAAGATAAGAAAAGTTAGCTAGAAACAATCCAAGCCAAGACTAGGCATTTATAGGAAATAATAAGACTCCATGTATTTATTTGGGAGCTGGGTGGTAGACCCCCCAAAAAGCCAAAACAGTACAATATAAACAACAACAGGGTATACTGTGTGTGCCTCACTTCAGTGTGTGCGACACTACAGCTTCCACAGAGGAAGTTTTCTTAAATTTCATTTTATGGAAAGGGGTGTGGGTTGCAGGATCAGAGGGTGGATTCGGAGGAACAGGGATGGGGAGATGAGTGGAACTGAGATGCATGATGTGAAATCCACAAAGAATCAATGAAAAGTTTCACAAAGGGGAACCCCTCTCTCTCTCTCTCTCTCTCTCTCTCTCTCTCTCTCTCTCTCTCTCGCTCTCGCTCTCTCTCGCTCTCTCTCTCTTCATTGTGTTTTTGCCCATGGAAGTCAAACCATCTAAGAACCAGCGTCTATGTGTCGGCATGACAAGCCACCCTTGAAGATCTGGCTTAGAGCCTGAGGTTGAGAACCCAAGGGGAAGGGCATCCTTGGAGCGAGATGCCCTAAGACAGAGGCTGGAAGTAGACTGAGACTGGGTACCAGTTTAAACTAAACGTAAGAGCAGCATACAGAAACCAGGATTGAAGGGGGCATTTTGTCCATTTTCTACCTTATTACATCAACTCCCTGAGCAATTAATATGGTCCTTTAGAACTGAGTGCAACTGAGGAGAGGTGCTGGGTGTAAAACTGGGCACATGCTGTGTGCAATCTCTGCTCCAGGGATAAAATCACTCCGTCCTGTGAGAGAGAGCGATGGGAATCACCAGGTGCTCAAGGGCCACCTAGCCTCACTCAGCAGAAACAAGAGACCTTGTCTCCAAAACAGCGGTGTGAGGGTTAACACCCAGGCTGCTCCTTGACACCCACACTTAGCATAGCACCTACACGCTGCACTCCAACGCATGGACATGCACGCATACACAAACCACCCAATAGGTCTTACTTTAAAAAAAAAAAGAACAACTTAAACTCCAAGTAACCCAGGAATTTTGTCCATCCATGTTGCTCAAAGAGAAAGCCTGGGAAGAGAAAGGGAAAATGTGCTGCTTGCTGGGTCAAGGTTGCTCAGCCACAGGCGCAGCTGGCTGGAGCTGTCTCAGGACTCCCAGGCAGCCGTATCAAGCAGATAGTCATTCCAAAATTCAAAGAAAAACACAAACCTTTTAAAAGTGAGCAGCACAGTAGCATTTTGGACTGTGCACGGTTCTGCAGCTCTCACCACTACACAGCAAAGGCGTCTCCACTATCCCAACACAGGGTGCTCAGCATCTTGCCACTATCTTCTCCCACCGAGGCCCCGGTGATGCCCACGTGCACAATACTCCTTCTATGTCGGTGTTTGCTTCAATGTCGGCTTCTTTTGTTTCATATTTTTTCATAGTGTTTTTTTGAGGTTCAACTACATTTTTTTTACCTTCCTTTATTTTTTGACAGTTTCAGGCATGTATTCTAGCCATGCTCTTAGACACTCATCCCCTCCCTAAATTCCCTCCTCTTCCCAACAAGACCCCTTCTACTTTGATGTCTTCTTATGTGTGTGTCCCCGACTTTACTTAGGGTTGCTGGCAGGAGCATGGCACAGGGTTATTGACGGAAGCATGAAGCAGTACTATACCACTACAGAAAACGACATCCTTCCCCCCAGAAACATGTGCTATCAATGGTTCATAGCGGGGAATGTATGGCTTATGAGGCCCACAAGCCCACTCTTCTCATCCATACAAAGTATTGATGAACCCAATCTTGTGCCGGATGGTGCATGCATGTACATGGGGTGGTGGGTGGGAGCTGCTGATTTGTACATGTGCTGGTGGTATGTGTACGTGTATATGTAGAGTCCAAAGGTGAACATCAGATCTCTTCCTCAATCTCTCCTCACCTTACCTCTAGAGCTGAACCTGAAGCTGGCAAATCTGGTGAGGCTGGGTGGTCAGTGAGTTCCACAGATCCACCTGTCTCTGTTCTCCCATTGCTGGAACCACAGGTGTGCACTGCTACTCATGACTTTTGCACAGGCGCTCTGGATCCAAGCTCAGGTGCCTGTGTGTGCGCCTGTGCCAAGTGCTTTACCAACGGAACCATCTCTCCCCGAGGTTCATCCACGCTCCTGGTGGTTCATCTTCAGAACCCACTTGAGGATCACCTTGGAGATTAATAAAGCACACTTCCAAGTATCTGAGGGAATTTCCAGGGAGACTTAACTGAGAAAAAACTCACCTGAAATTAGGCAGCAGCACCCTCAAAGGCTGGCTCAGAGGGGGTGCAAAAGGAGAAAGCTGGTGTGTACAGGCGTCACCTCTGTCTCTCTGCTTACTGGCTGCTTCATCACACTCTCACACCACGGTGAACCAAAGCTCTGAAACCAGGAGGGTAGTCGTAAAGCAGAGTTGCCCCGTCTCTGTCTAACCTCCCAAGAAAGTCACCCGTATTTCCTTCCTACAGACAGAGATTTCACAGATTCGTTGTTTCTTAGGGCAGGGTCAGGTGGAGGAGGTGAGGTCACTTTTGGAGGACTGGACACCCCCCCCCCCCAGGGGAACACTCAATGCACAATGCCCGAAAAGGTAACTCTACACCTGGGGCACCACCCAGAGACTCCAGGCTTGTGATGGAGGAAGAAGCAGGCAGCTCTGTCTTACTGAGGCCGAGGTCCTGCTTGGACAGAATGTGGTCCACGGGGCCTCAGCCATCCTTCCTGGGTATTTGGTTGACAGAACAATTTACCGTGCGTGTTCTTGGCAGATCCATGTGGGCTCCACTAAAACAGCTCGCACCACAAATCCTCAGTCATTTCCACGGTGAACTCAGGCTTGAAGTGCCAGGCTGACTCTCGTGTGCTTTGTTCGTTTCTCACCACAGTGAGGAAGTGCCTAGCAGATGCAGCTTAAGGGCTCACAGTTTCCGAAGTTTGAATCCTTCATGGCAGGGGAGGCTTGGTAGAGCCCAAGTCAGTGTAAGCGCACAGTGGAATTGCTCACCTCCTGAGGAACTAGGAAGCAGAGGCAGTTGAGTCTGGCAGCCAGACTGCTCACCTGGGTCCTCGTGCCCTACTTCTACCAGTTAGACCTTGCCCCTAAAAGTCCCATAACCTTCAAAATAGCAACACCCACTGGGTCGGAACACGCAAAGATCCAGATCATTCCGGATATGATTACGACATGAGCGGGGGGGGGGGGGGGGCGCAGACTCGCAGGGAAAGTGTCCATGGGTATTTTTAAAGGGGAAATGAGGAGCTGCTCGTAAAGGAGAAAGGCGTGAGAGAGCAGAGTGGGGAAGAGGAGAGAGGAGACTGGAGAGAGAGATGAGGGACAGAGACCACGGAGAGATCTTCTCTCAGGTCGGAGGGGCGGGCGCCTTGTTCTTTATGTTTGGCAGAGTCCACACTTCTCCGAATTGAAGCTTGGTCGGTTTGGACAGTTTCCCACTTAGTGGAGCCCAGCAGGGGAGAGAGAGAAGACAGGAGGTGATGACGAGGCTCATTTATTGCTTCTCTTCCCCCCTGGAGCACATCAGAATGAATCTCAGGGTTCAGGTGAATCGATCTCTTCAAATTAAATCCTTTGTTTGCAGCTGCTTCTCACCGAGTCTGCCCCAATGGGGCTCTGAAGCCCAGTTCACAATGGAACTTTCAGGAGACCGACTCCACATTCTGCTGGAGTGGCTCACAGACCACAGGGCAGGTAGAGCAAGATGTGAGCCATGCACCTTTCTGGCTTCGCCTGGAGTGCCCAAGATGCACTAGCTAGAGGGAATTACATTTGCAGAGGAGCTCCCCACGCGATCAGGCTGAAGAGGAGCTGGCTCCCCCTTGCAACTCCTTGCGTCATGGCATATCCTTCTCAACAGAATCTGGGGGTGGAGCTGGTCCAAGAAGCCAGCACATCTTGAAACGCAGGAGTACCAGGGAGAAAAGTGAGCAAGCCTGCTTCTGAGCTCTGTTCTTACTCCTGCCAGCATCTTACATCTCATTTGACTTGGATCAAGGTGCAATTTCACATGCTGGAGGAGGAAAAGAGCTGGGCTGCATTGAAATAGAGAGATCGCGATATAGGCAGAGATGGAAAGTGTGAT